AACATTGGGGGGGATCATGTTCATTATCCATGATAAATATATACACTAAATACATGTAAAAGTTCATTTAAAAACATAAAAATACTATCCCAATCAGCTACATACAGTAGTCAATGCGTCAACTACATCCAAATGTCCATTAGTGTTTGGTTTGAGTATGGACCAGACAGAAGTGGATTTATCTGCAGTACTTTGGCTTTTCAAGGGTCACTGCACTTGCATTATGCAGCAGAGGCAATTGACATAAATTCTCATGGCTATTAATGTGTCTCCCAGCAGCTCTGGAGACTTGGTGGCTTGTAATTATTGTTCTTGTTGTTGTTTATGACTAATTAATGAACTTGCAGAACAAAGGGAGAATCCCACTGGAAGTCTCAACCCATATCTAGTCTCTAGCCTCCAAAAGCTGTCTCCCTCTGCTTATCAATACAACACAGCATATATAAAAATTCACTATGTGATAACAAGACAACAACAACAAAAGCAAGCTGTGTAACTGCAACTCGCAAGACTCATAATGTAGTTAAAAGTCTGTTTACTGGATATAAGTCTGACAACTGCATTATTGTGGGTTAGGATGATCCAGCCTTCGAGCTACAGACGAGTTACTTTACAGCACTAGTACATGATGTAATGAGGACTCAATTTGGAGCACAAAAATATCGCTTCAAAATTTTAATTACCTAAATAATTCAGGCACCTTCCAATGATTTAAATGTTTAGGTGCCTGAAGCAGGACTATACAGTTTCACAGACTGGCAACAGCATACTGCATCTGCATGGGCTGCTTAGAAATTCATCTTCTAGCCTGTATTATGGTTAACACATTTCAACCACTGTAACGCATTTTGTTTACAAATTGCAAAACACTATTACTCTCCATATAGCAGACTGTTATTTAGATGAGGCAGAGGTAGAAGGTAAGGAAAAGAAAGCCTTAGTGCCATAGTTTGTTTAGTTTTACAAATTAAAACATCAGTTGGCCTCATTACGTTTCACATACATGTAAATAACATTTTAATCAGATTTGTTGTTGTTTTGTTCTATTAAAAGTTAGGCTCTATTAAAACTTAGAACAGTTTGACAAAATACTCTTAACTCAGGGTCCACAAACAAGTTTTTTGTCTACAGCTTTCAAACACAGCTCACAGTGTTTATCTGCAATCTGAGTTGGACTCATTTGTGATTGTGTTGGTTCAGTTGTCATGTCAGCCAAGTATGAAATTTTGTAAGGACACACATATGAAATATGATTTCATGCGGTCATATAGCTGGCAGTTCATTCAGTTATATTTATTCAGACTTATTGGTAGTCCTTTGTTTTTCATCAATTTCACTTTGGTTGGCAAATTAGCATTCACCCCAGAACTAGATGGCATTACTGATTTCATAAAGATTCAAATTTGGTTTTCTGAAAGGACACGAGCGGCTAAAATGATTCCAGGCGAGTCTGAAAATCTGAATCTTTATCCTTTGTCCTTTTCATCTAAAACCCCTACTGAGGGTTTTCCCTACCATAGAAAGGCTTAGGCATAGCGTCTAAGTATGTCTGCGGAGTGGCTAAGCCAAATGAATGTAAAAACAACTGAGTTATGTTGCTGAAAAGTAACAGAGTTGACTTGATCTCAAAATGAAAAGTAAGCTGGCAACAGGAATAACCTGTCAATCAACAATCAGCGCCTGGACAAAGGTCTGTGTGAGTGGTATCATGGCCGCCCTAATCAAACAGTAGTTACAGCCAACAGTAAGGTTAACCTCCACAAAGAACAGATGAAGTAGGCTATGATGACTTTGTTGGGGAGAAATTCTTGTGAAAGGTAACAACAGAGATAGCAGAATGTAACCTGTTTCACAAGTAAAGGAACTGCTAGTGTAGCTAGCTCTCACTGAATTAGCTAAAGTACATTAGCCATTAGAAGTTAGTTGGGGTTCGTTCATCTTTTATACATCAGTGGACAAGACGAGACAAGACAACTGGCCTGTGAGTCTTTAAACAAGAGGAGGAGACCAGCAGGAAGCCAAAATGCAAACAACTGGAGAACATTACGAGTCCACAAAGTCAGCATCACTGGTTAACTTTCTGAATAAGCAGTCACTTAACAGCAATCCAAGCAGCTGTGAAATGAGGTTAATCTTTAATAAATTAGAAGGATGCTTATTACACCACTAATTGCAGTCTTTATTAATATGCAAATAGAAATACAGCAAAAAGGAACTGTCATTAAGGCTGCACTAATCAATATTTGTATATCAACAATGGATCAAATCACTATATGTATGTGAAAGGTGTCACACTGAAGTTTACACAGACAACACAGAATTATCACCAAAGCATTCTCATCAGCTCTAATTAAGCTTTTTAGACACCTTTCAGCTCACTGGTTTGGTTTTCTGACACATGTTCTGCCTTCATAAACCTTGCTTTGAGATGCAGCAGGCAGCAAAAAGGTTCCGAAAAACCCACTTTGAACCAAACAGCAGTCAGACAAAGTGACCAACAAAATGGAACATTTAGCAGCAAAAGAGATATTGAAGATACTGAATATTAGACATACTCATTAAGAGGCAGAAACACGGCACCAAATGAATACTGATGTTTCGCCTCTTCTGCTAGACGTGTATATTAGCACTGTTTCCTATTAAGTTTGCAAAAATGACTTTACATGCTGATTTTATGTTGAGAGGTTTTCAACTTGTTCTACCAAACCATTCTCAAAAGAAATCAACTAAGCTGACTGGCTAATGACAGATAGATGTACAGTATGGCCAATGGGTTCTTTCCTAAACATTAAAATAAATCAGTAAAATAAATGTTTTTTTGTTATTCCTTCAATGGAACCTGCAATATGGGGCCCCAGTGATAGCCTGTGCCTGCAAATCGTCCTACAAGGCATAAAAGCACCCACCTACAGAGCTACACTGTGGCTTTTTACAATGTTCTGTTTAAAAAGAACATTACCCCACCCCATCACCTTAAATACCGTTGATTTAGGTTTTGTATTTCAAGGCTCTGAACCCATGCACAGTGCACTGCCTGACAGTACCCATGAACAGATGAGAATGCAGGAGGAAAAGAGGCTTGGCTCAAATATAAACAAAGTCAAAGCCAATACAGAGCACTAGCATCATTATATTAAAACAGAACCAGGTCCCAAACCCAGGCGCATTTCCCAGGTTAATGAAGGCTGTGCCCTGTCCAATATTTATTTGTGTCTGGCAGACCTTTATGCATTCAACAAGGCTCAATGTGACATTTTCAAAAATCAATAACTTGGTTGGTCAGATTTTGCCTCAGCCGCTGAAGCAAGACAGCTGAATCCAGGGCGCTGACAGCTGCTAATGTAAATCACACAATTTCTGAATCCTCACATCAGGACCGACAGCGGTCCTGCTGACCCTGGATGAACACACACACACACACACACACAAAGCTAAATAAAAAAACAAACACTTTTCTACATTCCTCTGTCTGTCTTTCCCTCTGTTCCAGCTCCTTTAAACATTATGGCAATTTCAATTAAACCAAATTGGTGAAAATATTGGTTTGCAGCATATCTTTCTTGTTCCCTCTCCTCTGTGGCTCCTTGGCTAATGACACCAGCTGAAAACCCAGGGCCAACCTCGCTGCTGCAGCCACATTCACACATTACTCTGTTTCCACTAGAGAGCTTGTTACACATCAGAAACAAGGAAAGCACATGCATTCTGCAGGACGAACTTATTTAAACAAAGCCACTGGGGCCTGGCTGGTCTGGGACCGGAGGAGAGCCATTACCATGGTCGTCTGTAAAAGCCCAATCGACACCAGCAGCCAGGCAAATGAACAAATCAATAAGTAGAACTATAGTAATAGTAAAAACTATTAAAAGTACATCACGCATACATGTGCATAAATAAATGAAAACCAACAGCAGTTTGGCCAAAAACAGGCAGGATTCATTCTGATTTTAGAAAATATAAAACCGTGGATTAATCATTCATGCAGAACCCCCACTGTCCATTAGAATACGCAGACACACTTTTCATTTTCTCTGTTGATGTCAGTCCCACTATAAGTGTTGCCTCATTGGTCAGTCTAACAGGAAACTAGACATCATTCCCATTATCACTCATGCAGCTGGCAGCACTGTACCTCATGTCTAGTTATTAGACATCTTCACCATGTGCTGCGATCAATATATCTGAGAGGAACCTGCTCAAGCTCTTGGTACTGTTACGAGTTTTAAATCAGTGCAAGTACAGAAAGTAAAATTCTCTTTCCTTCCCCCTGCACATGCCTTGACAGGCCTTACTCCTATCATTCTTTTTAAACTTGTACCATGTCCCAATTCAGGTATTTGTGAACACATCATGCCTCATTGATAAATCATTATCACACAGAAATGAAATTAGTCAACAAACAAGATTTTTACATTGGGTGGCAGCAACTCTTGCTAGTGAAATTCCCTTTCCTTCTATAGCAAACAGGATATCTGAGGTTCTGGCACTGGCAGAGTGAAATGCAGATGGGAAATTATGGTTATCCCCTCCAGTAAAACAAACAAGATCAACTTCTGAATCAATTTCCTCTTTGGGAAAGGAAGCAGCTCGGCTTATGATGTCGAAATGTTGACAAAGGGTTTACAGCAGCCACAGTCAAATTCGATTCATTTACAATAATTAAACAAAGGGGGGTCAGTGAGTTTCATAAAGAGATGCTGAGATTTAAAGGAACAGTGAGGTAAAATAAGCTTATTTGCTTTCTTGCCGAGAGTTAGATGAGGAGATTGACACTACTCTCATGTCTGTATGCCAGGTGAGGCTAGAGCTAACAGGCAATTGGCTTATCTTAGTATAAAGACTTGAAACAGAGGGAAACAGCCTGATTATGTCAAAAGCATAAAAAAACACCCTAAGAGCACTTATAAGGCTCACTAATTAACATGCCATATATCAGTATGCAAGGCCTATCCTTCACAAGTATACTAAACTGATACACAGCAAAGAGACAAAGCACTCACCTCTATGAGTTTGCGTTCATAGCTAGCAGCCAGCTCCTCGATGTCACCCATGAACTTATTTTGGGGGACAGGGGCCTGGTCTTCGCATGACTGCAACACTGATAGGGCTGTGGCAGAAAAGCAGAGAGAGAGAGAGAGAGATAGCACAGGTACATTTACACATATGTACAGTTACTGTGACCTGTCAAAAACACACACTGCGAGGAGAAACTCTTTTCACAACCAATTATAAACAGTGGGTTTCTGCCAATTATACACATTCTGCCACCGCGTTGTGACACCTGCGGCTGTTTGACGCTTTTGTTTTAACTGCGAGAGAAACAAAACACAAGGAGCAGCAGTTCGATACATCATACACATTAGCAGCCAGGCAAGAGCCGTGAATCCCCATTTTATTTAATTAATGTCACACACCGAGTATAAGAGTTATGCACATTACCTAAAACAAAAACTATAATCTTGTTGGGAAAGGCATACAAATAAACACCCACAGAAAGATATGCATAAGCACACAAATCCTCTAGTTCATGCATGATTGAATGTACGGTATACACTCAAGTGGCAGTCTAACACAACAGCCTAGCAATAAATGGTGCTGTTGAATGGTACTGCAATTTAACTGACCTGTGTTTTTATTAACTTTGTCCACTCCATTTATATCAATGAGGCTATGCAAAAAGACAGAAACACCAATAAATACAGCACAGTTCACCAGCACCACAAACACACGTCATGAATGGAGGAGGACTGTTGCATTAGACAGCTTTAGATTAAGCCAGGTGTACCTAATAAACTGCCAGCTGAGTGTAAAATGCCATAAGAACACATTTTCTTTATTGGAAACTTCCTCACTGTTCTGTCAAAATGAAAAACTCCCCTGGTGTCACCATCACCTGTTTTACTGTGACTTTCTGTTCAGACAGAGCTTATTGTTCCTTTGCACTACTATAGCCCAAAAACCACCCAAAAGTCATCATGACAGAGCCTAAAGTGCCACTTTCTGGGTCCATAAACATCAACTAATCAGGTTCTCTTGGCAAAGAACAGCAGAACTTAGCAGAAGCACGGTATCTTTTTTTCCACTGGGGTGGGTGGAAAAGTAAATTAATGTTATTTCACCCCCACCACACGCTAACACCTAGACAAACACACTGAGGCTAGGAGGAGGGAGAGACAGGGAGAGCGACTGGAGCAGAGAGAAAGAGAAAGAGGAAAGATAAAGCACAGAGATAGAAATTCAGCTTGTCCAAAGGCCACGCACAACTCAAATAAACTTGTGGTGATGGCTCTTTGGGGAGGAGTTTTAGAAAATACACAGCTGGACTGCTATTAGATAAAGCATGAACCTGCAGTAAGTGTCTGAATGTCTAGACAGAGTGAGGCAAGTATTGATGAAGGAGCCTGGCTCATTGTACTTCTAAATAGACGGGACTGTGGGGAAAAACGCTGCTGAGAATCACAGGCAGGTGCAGGTATACAAAAAAGAGCATTAATGGATAAAGTCCGAGGGGAATATAGACATACGCACACACACAAGGATGGATGTAGACATAAACATGCAGTGCACAGTGCAGATTTGGGTAAAAGGTCATTTTCCAATCAAATGTGACATTGTACATTTGTCTTTTCATCATGTTATATCACAGACAGTGTTTGCATCTTGTTCACACTGGATACCAATATGGTGCCTACTTGTTATGACTTTCTCAAGGGCATCCTGGGCATTGCTTGTTAAGGCATGAAGGAGCAGAGCTGAATCCATTTACTATAAAACAAGTCTATAGCCAACAGCTCAAAAGAGCTGAACTCAGGCACAGCAGTGTTTTGAGCTAAATGCTAACACCAGCATGCTAACATACATGTTAGAAAGCTGATGTGTTCACCGTATCAATCAGGTCTCAAACTATTAATGTTCCAGAAGCAAGGTACTGCTGTCTCATGACTAATAATGCAAGATTCCCGTCCTTATGAAACACATAAACTAAACTGTCGTAGGACTGAAGAGCTGCTTCTTATTTTCATTATACATTCATTTTTCGGTTTGCTTTGACTCACTGTTCAGTGTGTAAAATGTCAAAACAAAATCCCCCAGATTCCATTCCTAATGAGACAAGGAAAACTGAAAATCCTCAGCTTTGACTTATTTCTTAATTAAAGGGCGACTGAATATCAAAGTCACACTTAACTAATAAATCATTTGAATTGTTTCAGCACTGATTTACCCACACAATAAAAAAAAAACACACCATAGACACACATATACAGTGGGTACGGAAAGTATTCAGACCCCCTTAAATTTTTCACTCTTTGTTATATTGCAGCCATATGCTAAAATCATTTAAGTTCATT